AGCGACCAAAGTGGCACGTGGCATCTACTGATTGGTCCCATTTGTTTTATGTATTAAAAAAAGAATTAAGCTCGGGATTAGAAAAGAATTAAAACCGATCTGAATCTTGAAAATAAGGCTTAAATTGGCCGTTGGGAGAAATAATCACGTGGGTTAATGAGGTCCCACTTTGCCAGCTCATATATTTTTCATTAAATTATACAAATAATTCAAAATTATTAAATTATACAAAATAATCCAAAATTATTAAATTTTCGAGACTTTTTAAGTTTCATTTAAAAAAAAAAAAAAAAATTGACCGTACTGCAGGAGTCCGGAGGGTGAAGCAAGGCGGTGATTCTGTGCATGGGCTCCACAGTAAGCTTAGTAAGACGACCAATCAAGCCGATCAAATTGCTGTTCCAGCAGATCAGAAGGAAGGAAACGTGGGAAGTGGGTCCTACTTAGATTAGACGTGGCTTCTTACATGCCTCCGCGTACTTGCCACGTTATCACTCACTCCCGAATATTCCGCCGGCATATGCCACGTAAGCGCTATGATATTTTTAATTTTTATATATTGCAATTTTCCTTGCGAAGTTACGATAATACCCCAGCACGGATAATTTATTTATTATTTTTTTTTTAATTAAAAGTTACGTAGTCACGTCATTTCGTTCATGGAACTCACGTGCACGTGTGCGTGACCACCACGGCGCCATCGGAGAAATTTGAGCCGACAATCGGCGAGTGATGCCACATCCAAAAAACTACTCCATTTTAAAGTGACACGTCAACCATAAAACTAATATGTTTAAAAAATATTAATATAGTTTTAAGACTCTCGGAGTATAATTCAATTAATTTAGATATTATATTCCCATATATAGTTTAATCTTTAAAATTTTTATTATACCCAGATAACTAATTTAACGTATGTTCTACAATCTGAGTATAACTCAGTTGGATAAAATATCGATTACCATTGTAAACCCTCGGGCTCGTAATGAAATTAAGAAAGGGAGAATTAATGGAAGGGTAGAAATGGGTATTAAATATGAAAAAAGGGTTTGAAAAATAGATAGGAAGGGCATGTGGGTTATGAATGTGGTAGCATGTGCATATGCATGTGCCTACTACATTCATTATTGTGATTTGTTGACAATGAGGGCAAAATCAAAGTGATTTGACTTTAAATGGATTCGTCACGTGGTTTAGATGAATACAACTCTCCACAATAATATAATATTGTCCATTTTAAGTATAAATTCTCATGGCTTTGCACGGTCTCATACCAATAGAATTAGTATTCCTCACTTATAAACTCATGATCATTCTCTAAATTAACCAATGTGAGACTTTCATCATCCAACAATAATAATAATTCTTTTTTAAAAATTGGGCAATTTTCCGTATAATTATTTTTTTATAAAATATTATAAAGAACTATTATACCTCAACAAAAATATAATTATGATATTTAATTAACATCATTTCTAAAAATTCAATTTTCAAATTTCAAAATGTAAATTACTCATTCCAAAATTATTTGAAAAGAAGACGGGATTGAGAAATGCTTCTTCATCTCCGCTCAGTCCCGTAGACATTTTTAATTGCAACGTAGTTTTTAAAACTTATTACGGAAATAAAAATACATAAATAAATAAATTAAAAAAAAAACTAGTTGAAATGAACGCATGTAATTCTCGTTCCAGAGGTTACACATATTAAATAAATATTTCTATAGATTCAAATATTGGTAATTTAATCAGAAATTAATATATATATATAATATATATATATATGAATGTTAATATTATAAATATAAATTTAATTTTGAAAGGAATTAGGTGGAAATTTCTTAAAATGTACAAATTTGAAATGAGTGCATTAATTTTAATTTTTGTTTTTGTTTTTTTAAGGATGTTTTTACCAAATTAGACGGTCCTTCATTGTCGTGTAATACTCACATTTATAATTATTCAAAACTAATTTTAAAATATAAATAATAATAAAAATTTGACATTATAAATAAATAAAAAAAGCACATAGATAGTAATTTTCAATTCGTTTAAGCTTTTTGTAATAATCTTTTCATTAGAATCGCTCGATGTGATATCAGTTCATTTATGTATTCTTTTTTAAAAAAATAAATATTTTAGGAGTTTGAATCATTTTATTTTACCTTTAACGAACTATAAATAATGATATATCTAAATTAATAATTATAACTACACCGTTAGCTAGGGAAAGAGTTCTTTAAAAGGTGTATATTAAGGAGAGGTTTTTACATCCTTATAAAAAAAAATGTTTCGTTTTTTGCTCCAACCGATGTGGGATATCTCAATTCACCCCTTAAGGGCTTAGCGTCATCACCGACACATTGCCTGGTGTCTAGCTTTGCTGGCACATCACTGCTAGCAAATATTTTCACACCCTTATAAAGAATACTTGGTTCTCTTTCCCAATCGATGAGGGATCTCACAGATTCTAGATTAGAGTTTAGAATCCAAATTTGGCACCTGATGATCCTAATATTATTTACATTCCTTGCAACACGATCAAGATACCTACTCATTATTTCTAAGAGTGAGGATTATCCATACAAACCAACACAAGTCATTTAAGCATGTTCGGTCCTTACTCATATGGTCACCTAATATAACAAGCTTAACCATAGAGTTTCAAGGACCCAGCTACAAAAAAAAATGAAGGTGCACCATATTGATATAAATAACAACTTTCAATTTTTTAAGTCTTTCTTACTCACCACATCCTCAACATCACTGAACTTGGATGCAACTTTCAGCTCATTCATGCACTATCTCCTTTACTTGGGTGTCACAATAGTATCGATGTAGCTCGATGATTAGGGTATTTGTCAAATTTCAATATAAGTCAAATGTTCAAATCTGTCCTATACCACTCGTACGGTGTGTTTACACTACAAACTAAAAAGCGCTATGCTCTATAACACCACTGAATCCATGACCTCGAAGAGTCCAGACGAAAAACCCTCGAACTCCAAATTTACTTTTTTTTTTTTTTTTTTTTTTAAAGAATGGATTCTAAGAGTGCATCACAAGTAAGGTATGAGATAGAAAGAGAAAGTGAATAAAAATAAATAATAATAATAATAATAATAATAAAAGGTTCCTTAGGTTACAAAATTGATAGTGTAAGAGAGAGTAACATAGAAGAAAGAATTATTGATGATGAAAAAAGTATTTATGAAGTAATATGAGAGAGAGAGAGAGAGGAAGAGAGAGAAAGAGGCCCATCATTTCAAAGAGGCCCAATAAACCAAACTTTTAATTTTTATTTTTTAATTTTAAATATTGTTTTTGGTTGTGCTGTCACTTTTATTAACCTTCCTCAATTATATTAAACAAAACCCACCAATAACTAATTAATTAATTAATTAATATGGTAATATTTTCTGTCCATTTTACATTTTTCCTATTTTTAAACCCTAAACCAAACAAAAAATCATTTTCATTTCTTTTTTCAAAATTAATACTATGCTCGGGTTCGCATTTTCTCGACTTTTTAATATCTCAAATAAAGTTTTTTAAAAAAATATATCTAATATTTCGCTCGTTATAATTTTCTTTTTAAAAAAATTAAATCGTAATAATAAATTAGTTTTAACCCATAGTTTATCTTATTTTAAAATATTAATTTTTAATATTGAAATTATGAAATTAATTAACCTTGTCATTAATTATTTAAATTTTTAAGTATAATTTTAAATTCGTATAAAAATTTCATAATACAAATTAAAAATATTACAAATATACAAAGGATGAATTATTTTTATAATTTTATATTTATATAAGTCAATTAATTGTGATTTTTTAAAATATTTAATTTATTACCTAATATTATTATCAACCATTTACTACCAAAATGTTACATAAATATATATTAAAAAATTAAATATATTTACGAATTTAAATCTAATGTTATGATATTTGAATTTTTTTTCGCTTGCTCTATTTTGAAAAAAATAAATAAATATCTTTATTACTAGATATAATTTTAAAATAATTTATATTAAAATAGAAATATTCAATTAAAAAAAAGTTGTTTGTCATAATATTACTTTATTTAACATATAAAGTAAATCTAAAGTTATATAATAAGAATAAATGATTGGAGAAAATAGTGAAATTAATTAAATAGAAAAAAAAAATTGGAATAAAAGGAAAGTAATGTGATGTACGACCATTAAAAAAACATGTCACATGATTATAAAATTTTAAAAATAAAATTAATTAAAATATTATAATAACCTTGCACCGACATATTTAATTTTAACTTATTTTTATAAATTCATTATTTTTTCACCTCAAAAATGTGTAAAACTTTATTTTTTTTTGTATTATCCACCATTTTTATTTATTTGTTATTATTATTATTATTATTATTATTTTCACTCAACTTTATAGAGGTGAATTATTAAATAATAAATTCAATCCAACCATAACTAGTAATTTATTAAAATATAGTCTATAAAATATTTATTTATTTTTATCATTTAACTTGAAATTAGTTAAAAATTATTTTTAATAATAATAAATAAATTATGAAATAAATAAGAAAAAATATATTTTTTAAAAAAATTAACAATAAATTCATACGGTGAATCTAATTTTGTCAATTCAATTTAACTATACAGTTAAAATGTTCGATTTTATAATCCCGAAACTTTGTTTGTCTCATTGATATGTCGAACTTTTAGATCGAAAGGTCTCTTATGCTCTCGAATTTATTTTATTTTTTTACGAGGTGACGGTAACATTCGAAACTTTTAACATTCGAAACTTTTAACCCATTAGTACATGAATTAGGTTAAATGGTGAGAAATGAAGAAGGTTAAGAAGGGTAAAAAAAGAGTAGGAGAGTAATAAGAGGAGAGAGAAGGGGGTGAAGAGAGAGAAAAGAAGGAAGGGTAAAATGGGAAAGAGACAGCTAGCAATGAAGGAGTAGCCTCACCTACCATTGCACACCCACATCTGTTTCTTCTCTTTCATTTCCTTTTTAGCTTCTCCTTCTCTCTCATCCTTACATATTCTCTCTCTCTGGAAATGGAGTCCTGTACGACCTGGTAGTTCAGCTTTCTGAGGTGGGTTTTGCTTCTTTTTCGTTCCTTTCTTCTTACTGTTCTTCGTGTTCTTATCGCTTCTGGGTCTCTGTTTATTCAACTGGAAATGGGATTCTCTGGGCATTGCAATTTCAGGGTTTTGGGGTTTCTTGGAATGTGAAGAAAAACCAAAAGAATGGAAGTTTGAAACATGAAATCGAGGAGTTTCTTAAGTTTTGTAAATCAAAACCCCTCTTCAACCCAAATTTCTTCTCTGTTTTTCCAGAGACTGAAGAAAAATGCTCTGTTTTTCAACGCATTGCAAATAAAAAACAGAGCTCACTTCTCCAACCTTTTTTTTTTTTTTTTTTGCAGGTTTTGAAGCTCAGATTTCCCCATTTTCACTGCAAATCTCAAACTAAAAGGTTTGTTCTAAACTTATTCTTAGCAATTCCCAACAAACCCATTTCGATTTTCAAAAAACCAAGAAGGAAATGATATTATAACGTATAGAATTGGCTAACCTACGCCACGCGGTTTTATTTAATGTTTTACAGACTTACCAAACCAAGCTTCATCTTAAAATGCAGACACCCTTATCTTCTCCTTACAATTTCTCTTTTTCTTTTTCAGACAAGAAAGAAAAAGAAAAAAAAAAAAGACAGAAAAATCGACAGAATGGTCGGTAATAGCTTTGTCGACGACTTAGATTGCGGCAGTTTCTTCGACCACATCGACGACCTCCTCGATTTTCCGGTGGAGGATGTCGACGCCGGCTTGCCGCCGGCGAATGGCGGCGACTCGGGCAACTCGTTTCCAACCATTTGGTCAACTCAGTCTGAAGCACTGCCTGGTTCCGACTCTGTGTTCTCGGCTAATAGAAACTCTGATTTGTCGGCCGACCTCTCTGTTCCGGTTAGTATTTCTTCTGGATTTTTGCTCACCCGCGGGTGTTTCTATCGTTTCTCTCATGAACCGTCTCTCGAGCCAGACCGGGCCGGGTAAATTAATGTGAAAGATTAATTCTAAATTTGCAATATTTTGAAACCGATAATTTATTAATTTCAAAATTAAATTTTAATTCATTTACAATCTCCCTATTCCACTTTTTTTTTGTTAAAAAATTTTTAGACTCAAATTTAAAATATTATTTTTATAATTTTATCCTTTATACAACATTTTCTTAAAAAAAAAAAAAAGAGATGAATTCGGATAATTTTCTTTTTTTCTTATTAAAAAAATAAATATTACAATATTTAAAAATTCAATAATTAAAAAAAAAAAAAAAAAAAAAAAAAAAAAAAAAGGGNTAAATATTACAATATTTAAAAATTCAATAATTAAAAAAAAAAAAAAAAACAAAAAAAAACAAAAGGGCGTTGATTTTAAGGACATTGGGTTTAATTTCGGTGGATTTTGTCACTTTTTGTTTGGAATAAATTAAATATAGAAAATGTTATCATCGGAGGTAATTAGTGAAAGAAATCGACATGATTATGACTAATTGATTACCTGTCCACCTGGCTGCCACGTGGAGGCCAGTTATTGGTGGTGCTTTGTCATTTTCCCCTTGATTGGAGGCGCCAACAAACACACATGGAAATTCATTTAAATTAATATTTTTTTATTCTTTCAAATTTCAAAGCCCGTAAAGGGTATTTTAGTCTTTTCACAGTCTTCTTGGGATCTGTTAGGAATATAAAATATTTAGAAAATGAATAATAATATTTTATTATTAGATTTACATGCACGTGAGTGTTGAGAACTGGCACGTGCTTATAATATATATATGTATTTTTCTTTTTTTTTAATTTATTTTACAGTATGAAGATATTGTTCAATTGGAATGGCTATCAAATTTTGTTGAGGATTCATTCTGTGGTGGCGGAAGCCTTGCAATGGGCAAAGAGGAGCCTAAGTATTTGACCCATACCCAATTCCAAACCTCTAGCCCTGTTTCTGTTCTTGAAAGTAGCAGCTCTTGCTCTAGTGACAAGAGCCTGCCCCGCAGCCCCGAACCGACCATCGCCACCCCGGCCCAGCAGCGTGGCCGTGCTCGTAGCAAACGCCCTCGCCCTGCAACCTTCTGTCCCCGTCCCCCAATTCAGCTTATTTCCCCTGCCTCCTCCGTCTCCGAAACAACTCATGATCATCATCATCAGGTATTGCAGGTCATTGCCCCGAAGACTACCTCGGACTCGGATAACTTCGCCGAGTCTCGACCTTTGGTCAAAATGCCGAAGCATGGCGTGTTAGGAATGCAAAAGAAGAACAAGAAAATCAAGTTGTCGTTTTCGCTCGCCCCATTAGATGGGTCGAGTCAAAATTCGCCATCGCAGTCGATGAGAAAATGTATGCATTGTGAGATAACCAAGACTCCACAATGGAGAGCAGGACCAATGGGACCGAAAACTCTTTGTAATGCCTGCGGTGTTCGGTATAAGTCCGGTCGATTGTTCCCGGAGTATCGACCAGCAGCAAGCCCGACTTTTGTCCCGTCATTGCACTCGAACTCCCACAAGAAAGTGCTGGAAATGAGAAACAAGACGGACGAGAAAACAGCTGCAAATGTAATCACCATAACCGTGCAACCGGAGCTTATTCCAAACACAAACAGCGCAATTTCGATGGATTACATGTGAAGAGGAAGAGGAAGAGGAAGAAGAAGAAGGAGGGTGGTTCGAGAACCGATCCCAGCCCGGGATCGGTCTCGAAGATTAGAGCGTTGGATGTGGACGTGGGCGAGTCGATGTTGGGTCTAGTAGTAGAAGTTGTGTTTACTTTAGGGTGGTGGTGGTTGTTTTGTGTACAGGTTTAGGACTCATTTTAGGTACCAAATTAGAGGTGGAGGAGAGACCAGAAGTGATATTGGAGTTATTGAGGTTAGAGAGAGAGAGATTAAAGAGTTTTGGTATTCAGTTTTAGTCCTTTTTTTGCATTCTTTTTCTTTCTCAATTTCTTCGTAATTCTTTTTGCACTTCATTTTTAGTGAAAGTTCTTAGCTTTTGTTTAGTAATGAAATTTCGGGTCATTTATTCAAGAAATTTTTAACATTCCCGACTCATAGTTTTCAGTCATCTTCTCTACCAACTGAGCTTCAATACATGAATATGTGCAATCTCATTTCCAATTGAGACCATTGGAGAATCTTCTCTTATGGCCTTCACTTCCTGTCTGCCCTGAAAATCGAACTAGGTAAGCTAAAAAGGTGATGAGACGACCTTATAATTTAACCGAACGAAATGAAAAAGTTTATAAAGAATTCAAATTAGTTCGAGGGTGCTTTTAGCAATTTGGAAGGTTTGTCTCAATCCCACCAACTCTACCAAAACTCAACTTATTAAGTTATATGTTTATTTTCGACAAAATAGATATAAAAAGACTTGTAAGTGTTACTTTTTACTTAAAGAATATTTTAATATATATATTTGAAATTGAAGATTCCAATGGGTTACTTTCAAATTTGCTTGAAATTTTAAAAAAAATTCAAATTCAAATTTTAGGTAGAAAAAAGTTTGAATTTGAATTTTCATTTAAATTAAAAAAGAGGTAAAAAGAATTAAATCAATGATTGATGTTACTTTCATTGAAAGTATGGTGAGAATTATTTATCACATGAAAAGATGTTTCCACAAAACACACAAAAACACAATTCAATTAGAAAAAAGGAAATATACAGTGTGTTAAATGAAATAATGTAACTTAAATTTGCATTAAGAGAATTATAAGATTACGATCTGATTAATACTTCATATCATCAATTTTCTAAACGTAGTACAGTTACACCTAAAATAAATTATAGCACCCGATAAAGATATTAAAAGCGAGTAGATATTATTCTTTTTTGGGCTTCTTCTCAAGGTTTTTAAAAACTATCTCCTAGGAAAAGGTTTCCACATTCTTATAAAGAAAGTTTCGTTCTCCTCCCCAACCAGTGGGATCTCACAATCCACCCTCTTTTAGGGCTCAGCGTCCTCGCTGAAACTCGTTCCCTTCTCCAATCGATGTGAGACCTCCAATCCACCTTCTGGGTCGAGCATTCTTGCAGACACATCACCTCGTGTTCACCCCATTCAGCCTCTTTGCTGGCATATTGCCTGAATTGCTCTAACACCATTTGTAACAATCTAGGAAGAGGTTTCCAAACTCTTGAAAATAATGTTTTGTTCTCCTCTTCAACCGATGTGGGATCTCACATATATCATCGATCAAAGATTAGAAGTTCATTAAGGCAAAATAATCACCACCCTTGAACTACAAAGTAATAGAATTTGTAAATATAAACCCTAATTATGCAAGAGACAAAAGACATGACAATGATTGATGTGTCGGGTATTTATTGGCTGAAAATAACAATATCAACGTATTCAATCAATACAAGTTTTACATGTGACAGAGTCGCATAATCATGCTAAATACTTTTAACTTATTTAAATCGACAAGTGAACAATTCAATCAGAACAGCTATTCTTCAGATCAGTATGAATGCACTATGTACCATAAAAAATGAAAAAGGCAAACTAAGTTTCTTTTTCAAGCATGCTTTCTAGGTTCTAGATATGGACAGGAAGAGCAGTCAAAAAGGCCAAGGTAAGGGGAGAAGTAGACTTGCCAAATAGGGAGCACCAGGAAGGAAGCTTTGAAATTACCCTCTCTGCTTTTGGAGTTAATCTGTTGAAATCAGTTCGCAGCTTTAGAAGTGGAGGCTGAACTGTGTTTTTAGCTTCTACCGATTTGGTTGAGTTGTTTTTCCAGAACAGAGTTAGAGAAAAAGTTGTGGGCGAGTCCCTTCCTCCTGCAAATTGAATAGTGTGCCACCCATCTACACTGCTGTTCTTATCGCCAACTGGAACCAGTTCTTCTTCGCCTGGGCCAGACAAAATAAATTTAGTTTACAGTCACAAAATTCTTAACTACTTATTTAACTGTTGAAATTACTTTCCATAGGTCATAAAGTTGATGCAAATGTCCAAGCCTACCGCTAGCACATATTATCCTCTTTGGATTTTCTCTTTCGGGATTCTCCTTGAGGTTTTTAAAATGCGTCTACTAGGAAGAGGTTTCCACACCCTTATATAGGCTCTGAAGGGGGGTGGATTGTGAGATCTCACATCGGTTGGGGAGGAGAACGAAACACCCTTTATAAGGGTGTGGAAACCTCTCCCTAGCATATATATCCTCTTTGGCCTTTCTCTTTCGGGTTTCCCCTCAAGATTTCTTCAAAAACACGTCTTCTAGGGAGAGGTTTCTACTCCCTTATATGGGACCTAAAATGGGTAGATCGTGAATCCTACATCGGTAGGGAAGGAGAACGAAACACCCTTTATAAAGATGTGGAAATCTCTCCCTAACAAACACGTTTTAAAAACCTTTAAGGGAAAGCCCGAAAGAGAAAGCACAAACAGGATAATATCTGCTAGCGGTGAGCTTGGACCTTTACAGTTGAAGTGTTTATCAAGTGCTTTGAACTCGAGCACTTCACCTTTAATCCTTCATTACACATTTTCTCATGCATGGCTTCATTAATTTCTCTCTACCCACTTTCAATAACTAACTACTCTCTACAAGCTTCTCTCACTAACCTCTCCCCTTTGTACCCATTTTCTTGGACTAACTTCCCATTAGGCACCTTTCACTTATTCTCTCTACACACTTCCCTTCTCTAGCTTCTTTCCACACCCATACTTCCTCACCATGGTATTTTATAATACAAACAATTTTGATGAAAGTATTTCAAGTAAAAGCACCCCAAAAACGTCTAGCAATCCTTCCATTTTTCAGCATTTTGTTCTACAAGAGAATAAGCCTTTGGTTTGTACCGTAAAGACAACAGAAGTATAAATAGACAGAAGCATATACCAGAAGCGAGGAAGGAATTAACATTTATCAATGGTTCATTACCTTTAAACTTGAAATCTTTGATTTCATCAGTGTTGATACCAAGAGACCAACGTGTAGAACCCTTAGTATCAATTAAAATAGTTGTAACTCTTCCATTGTTGCTAACATTGCTGTCGACCAGCAGCGAGGGAATATCAGACTCGTCCCACCCATTTTCACCACCTTCATGGGTCCAACATCCATAATCAACAGAGAAGGTAACATAATCAATAGGTTTATCTCTACCACATGTAAACCCCTCTTTGATATGTTCAACCTCCCTGGTCAACTTTCCAGGAGTTGTAGAGAATAGAGATACATATGAGATAGGATCTTGCTCTCCACCGTATTTTTTTGTCGTATCTACAACATGGACAACCTGTGACAAGAATATTTTTTAGAAATATAACAGCTAATGCTCTAAAGCTACATCATTCCAACTAAATAGCAGAATGCGTATCAACTCATCACAGACCATTTTATTAGAGCCAGATGCTAAATTTGAATAATAATATAGCTAAAAAATTGAAGCATCAAGGTCTTCCTTGTGTTCTCTTGCCCAAATTCTCTTTAATCAACTTTCCCCCCGTATTTCTAGCCAATTTTCCTATTTACGTACTAATATTTACTCACTATATCTCTAATTTAATTCCATGTGTCCTACATCACTATACACAAACATAATTTCAAGTTGAAATTCTATTACTTTCTTACAACTTTATCATAGTCCAAATTTTCAATTATATTTTAATTTGTTGTTCTAGTCTTCTTAAACTCAAATGAAAAAAAATGGGAGTTGCCTTGAAGCCACTTTTTGTTCTCTTTTCTTGGTTTGTAGTTTGTCTCTAGGTGTTTGGAAAAGTGTTTATCAGTACATAATAATAACAGTAAGTTCCCTCAATGATACAACGATGTGATCATATTTGATTATGAAATAATAGTTGGAGTTGAATCATGCAGGGACTTTTATGAGCTGATGTAAAGCTTACTGAGTACGAACAATTCAATAGGCAAAAAAAGAATAACAGAAGTTACAATTTGATCAAGCGCACATGATAACATGGCGTTCCACAAGTTTCAATTGGACCTGTTACACGATCCAAGGCCAGGAAGATTCAACAAGTATTCATCCTTCATCTACAAGACCATTTGGAGATTTGGAAATTAATATTTGCAAAGTTGAAGTAGACCATATAGTTGTCCTAAATAGCACTGGATTGATAATTTTTTTTTTTTTGAAGACTTTATTTATTATTTTTATTTCATAACTCCTTTTAGAGGGCATTTGGAGGGTAGTAGGAAGAACTTGTCAATCATGGTCACTAACGTGGCCATTTGAAGGGTTGGAGGTTTCTTTTGGGAGGTTATAAATACCCACAAAATGATATGTAGGGAGGAAGACTGAGATTTGGATGAATAAAGTTGAGCTCTTAAGACTTTACCCTTAAAAATTTGAGCATCTTCTTTGCCATTTCTAAGATTTTAAGCAATTCTTGCGGTAGATTGCATCCAAGCCATTCAATCAAGCCTTGATCAAGTAACTCAATTTAGAACAATATTCTAAATCTTCCTTCTAGATTTTTGATCTTAAGAGGTAATCTAATTCTAGCATTGCCTCGTGGTTGATCGGAATTTTGTACAAGGGGTACTAATTTCTTTGATTCAAGGATAATAGATTCAACAAAAGCTGAGATGGTTGGAATGAAGATTAGGATTTGTGTTAGCACAGGAAGAATGAATGAATTTGAGGTTTAATTGAAAGAACTTACATTTACGGTTCTGGCTATGACATCAGAAAATGGTGGGACGATGCCAGATACCACAGTAGCGATTGAAAAGCCAAATAGAAGGCAAGTTGCAAATACTATTGATCTTTTTGCTCCTGCACCACAAGCATATAACATGATACTTGTTAGAAAAATTATTCAACTGTGTTTCATATCAGAGACTCAAATATATACAAGAAAATCCTAAATTAAAGGAATGTACGATCATAATGAAAGAACACTATACATCATAATGAAAGAAAATCCTAAATTATACAATCATAATTAAAGGAATGTACAATCATATATCGGAGTACTACATGGTTTGATTCTTAATTTTCCTGTAAAAGATAACAAATCCGGTACATATTTTCGTTGTGACAAAAAAGTACCTTCTT